CCTGCTCCAGATCACAGCTCTCCTGTTCACATGACCAAAAACACCAGTGTCCCTTTGACTGACGCTGGGAGCTCCCCATGAGGCGGTCGTCCAGTTACCCCCAAATGGTTTCCAGGCTCCCTTTGCTCCATGACAGAGGGCCCTCATCTCTGTTACCATGGAAACATAGAAAAACAGAGTACCAGAGCTGACAGGGACCGTGGGAGTTCCTCGAACCCCGTCCCCTGCCCCCAGACAGGGCTGAGAAGTTCCAGGCTGGTGCGAGGTGATCTCACCCAGTCGCTTTCACCGATGCTGTGTGCAAGGGGGAAACCCTGCCCCTGCGCCAGCTCTCAGCTCTCCTGTTCACACGACCAGGAATCCCAGCGTCCCTTGGCCACAGCCCGGCACTGGGAGCTCCCGGTGAACCCAACTAAACTCTGAATCCCGTCCAGGGTCCCATTGATCCATTTCACGGTGCCCTCATCTAGGGCTCAGGCCGGCACTCAACACGCTTTCCTGCCCACCACAGAGCCCTGCGTTCCCATTGGACAGCTCCGCATTCGAGTACATCAAACTATTTTGTTAGCATAGAAACATAGAGTCCTAGGCCTGGCAGGGATGTGGGAGGCCCATGAGTCCTGTCCCCTTTCCTCACCCAGGGCTGAGCAGTTCCAGGCCGGTGGTGAGTAGTCTGCAGCCCCCGGCCACACACAGCTGCTGAGGAGAATGGGACCGTGGCTGGGAGACATTTTGCTGACAGCAACCATCCCCAGGCACCGCTCCCACAGCTCTGCGTGGCTCTGTCCCCCTGTGCCCAGCCCAGGAGAGCGGTGGGGAGGGCGGCCCCTCGCCTGCAGACCCTGCTCCGCACAGCTCTTTCCTACCTTGTCCCCAGCGTGGTGCTCCACTCCACGCCCTGTCCAGTCTGCCCGCAGCTTTCCCAAAATGTGGTGCCCAGAACTGGACAAAATATTATAGTTGGGGATAATTGAGTGCAGAGCAGAGAAGAAGAACTTAGCTGTCTTGTGTAAAATATCCCCCGTTACAGAGTCCCAGTGTAATATTTGCTTTTTTTTCCAGCCATGTGACGCTCGTTACTCATATTTAACTTGTGGTCCACTAGGACCCCTCAATCCCTTTCAACAGGGCTCTTTTCTCGAGAGTTTCTTCCCTTTTTGTGTGTGTGCGCAACTGATTTTTCTTTCCTAAGAATTGTTTTTGAATTAAACCTATTCCCATGTTTTCCATTTCCCCCGACCTTTCTTTCTTCAGACTTTGCCATTACTTTTAGTAGAATTTTGCCTCCATTTGCCTCTTTTGGGGGGTTCATTTGTTTTTGGCTCTGCTGATGCCCGACTGAGCAGTTCTGGTTGTGAATGAGCTGGGTGGTTGATTGTTCACTTTGAAACGTGCTCCCAACCCGAAGGTGCCACTGTAGATGGGATTTAACATTCTCCTTTATTGCTAATGGACTGAGGGTCTGTCTACACTAGCCCCCTAGTTCGAATTAGCGAGGCTAATGTAGGCATTCAAAGTTGCAAATCAAGCCTGAGATTTAAATATCCCGCGCTTGATTTGCATCTTCCCGGCCTGTTGCCACTTTTTGAAATGTACAAGTCCGGACTAACTGCCCTCATCTACATACGGCAGGGACCCGGTAGTTCTAATTAAAGCCCCTAGTTCGAACCACCTGTTAAACCTCCCCAGAGCGTCCCCCCTGGCCTCATCCCGTCCTTGCCATTCACAGCTTTCAGTCCAGCTGCTGCTGCCATGCGCGGCGTTCCCAGGTGAGCAGGGATACGCCTGGCCGTGATGTGACATCATGGCCCGGGTCTTTAAAACTGCTTGGCGCCGTGTTGTGCCACATGGCCTAGCTCCGGGTTCGGAGTCTGGGGACTCCTGGGGCCCAAGCACAGACTCCAGCCCCACAAAGTGGAAGGCAGAAGGTAAGGTGAGGGGGAGGAAGGTGCTTGTGCAGAGGGCGAGGGGGAAATAGGGGAAGGGGTTGGGGAGGAAGGGGCTTGTGTGGAGGGGGAAGAGGGAAGAAAGGGGAAGGCACCAAGGGACAGCGTGGAGGCCTGGGGGCCAAGTGGAGACAATGAGGAAAATGGCAGGAGGGGAGGTGTCAGCAGAAGGGGGGGCAGGGTGATGCTGGGAGAGGAGAGGGGAAGGGCCTTGGGGGCTAGAGGGAAGAGGGGGAGGTGCTGGGAGAAGGCTTGAGAGAAGGGGTGGGCATGAGAAAGGTGGGGATGGAGCACGGCATGTGTGAGGGCACAGAAGGGCATGAGAGGAACGGGGGCAGAGGGTGGTGAGGGGGTGGGTGTCACAAGTTTTGCTTTATTCGGGCCGCACACCCTGTTAGTTTACAGTGACCTGCGTGCCCCCACCGATCCATAACGTGCCTTCCCCTGTCAACTGTGATGGCCCCCAAGAGGCGAGCCTCTGCCTTCTTAAGTTAGATACCACCGAAGAGCCTGCTGGTAGCAGGGAGGGGGGTCCGGGCCCACCCTCTCTCACGGGCCCCGGCCCAGGGCCCTGACACTGGGAACCGAGCTCCCAATGGTAGTGAGCGGTGGCGTACCCCTAAACGCACTCACTTTTGGGCTCCGCGACCCTACCTTGGGCCACGCTCCCCCCTGCCACCGAGCTTCCCGGAGCAGCTCTTACTGCCCCTCCTTGTATTCTATTCAACTTATTCATAAACAATTCAGAGAAAGGGGTAAGCAGTGAGGTGGCAAAGTTTGTGGACGATACTAAACTGTTGAAGATAGTTAAGACCAAAGCAGACTGTGAAGAACTTAAAAAAGATCTCACCAAACTGAGTGACTGGGAAACAAAATGGCAAATGAAATTTAATGTGGATAAGTGTAAAGTAATGCACATTGGAAAAAAAACCCAACTATATGTACAGTATGATGGGGGCTAATTTAGCTACAACTAATCTGGAAAGAGATCTTGGTGTTATCATGGATAGTTCTCTGAAAACATCCACGCAGTGTGCAGTGGAAGTCAAAAAAGCAAATAGGATGTTAGGAATTATTAAAAAAGGGATAGAGAATAAGACGAAGAATATCTTACTGCCCCTATATAAAACTATAGCATGCCTACATCTTGAATACTGTGTACAGATGTGGTCTCCACACCTCAAAAAGATATTTTGGCCTTGGAAAAGGTTCAGAAAAGAGCAACTAAAATGATTCGGGGTTTGGAACGGATCCCAAATGAGGAGAGGTTAAAGAGAATGGGACTTTTCAGTTTAGAAAAGAGGAGGCCCTCTCCACACCACTCATGATTTTATAGGCCTCTATCCTATCCCCCCTCAGTCTCCTCTTTTCTAAGCTGAAAAGTCCCAGTCGCTTTAACCTCTCCTCGTATGGGACCCGTTCCAAACCCCTAATCATTTTAGTTGCCCTTTTCTGAACCCTTTCTAAGACCAAAATATCTTTTTTGAGGTGAGGAGACCACATCTGTATAAAGTATTCCAGATATGGGCGTACCGTAGTTTTATAGAGGGGCAGTAAGATATTCTTCATCTTATTTTCTATCCCTTTCCTAATAATGCCCAGCATCCTATTTGCCTTTTTGACCGCCGCTGCACACTGCGTGTAAGTTTTCAGAGAACTGTCCATGATAACTCCAAGATCTCTTTCCTGATTTGTCGTAGCCAAGTTAGCCCCAATCATACTGTACGTATAGTTGGGGTTATTTTTCCCGATGTGCAAAAAGAATGTTCTTTTTCACACCGCGCACAGTCAACCTGTGGAAATCCTTGCCAGAGGAGGCTGTGAAGGCTAGGACTATAGCAGAGTTTAAAAAAGCAAGATACATTCATGGAGGTTAGGTCCATAAAAGGCTACTAACCAGGGGGTTAGGCATGGTGCCCTTGGCCTCTGTTTGTCAGAGGCTGGAGAAGGACGGCAGGAGACAAATCGCTTGATCATTGTCTTTGGTCCACCCACTCCGGGGCACCTGGCCTTGCCCACTGTCAGTAGACAGGATACTGGGCTAGATGGACCTTTGGTCTGACCCAGTATGGCCATTCCTATGTTCTTATTTTCTTAATATCCAGCCTACATCTCCCCCACTGTAACTTGAGCCCATTGCTCCTTGTTTTGCCATCTGTCACCACTGAGAACAGCCTCTCTCCATCCTCTTTGGAACCTCCCTTCAGGGAGTTGAAGGCTGCTCTCAAATCCCCCCTCACTCTTCTCTTCTGCAGACTAAACAGACCCAAATCCCTCACCCTCTCCTCATAGGTCATGTGCTCCAGCCCCTGAATCATTTTGGTCACCCTCCGCTTCATGCTCAATTCATTTTTATTAAAGTAAACGGAAAATGTTTATGATTTATTTTAAATTATTGTATTTAAAAAATAGACTGGTTTTGTTATGAATTTAATTTTATTTGAATTTCTTCAAAAAAGGATTGTTACATTTTTACAGTTTAATTTTTATTATTACATGCTTTAAATAGGAATTCCATCTAGTGGGGGTTTTTTCTTCATCCCGATAAATTCACTCTGTTTTAAGAAAAAGGGGGTAAAATCAGTTTGGTTTCCAATAACATTTTATTCTATTATTCTTTGCTGATTTAGCTATTCCAGAACAGAGCACTACACAGAACTTCTCCATTTCATCCCTTACATCTAAGGCCTGTTGAGAAGCAGCCCTATTGCCGATTCATCCTATTTGAAGCAATGGTCTTTACTTCCACCACGGCTGGGAATGAGCGCAGGTCTCCGTGGTGCTGATAACAGTGAGGACCTGCTGTTTTCCAGGACGTGTGTTTCCTGCTCTTTCCTTGAATGGTTTCCCACAGCACGAGGTGGAGACATTATTGACCCAGGAAGCACCATAAAATATGAAATTGCCAGTAGAAGGGTCATATGTTAATAATTAATTTCTCTTAATAATGAATATTCGTTTCCAGTGTGTGGAGAGCAACCGAGCTGCTTCTCTGTGAAAATAGTCTCCATCAGTACATACCATGCCCCATACAAACATTCTCTGTCCTTTCAGGCATTTGTACTGCGACCATTGTCATTGATCCTGGTCACATACAGGTCATCAGGGGATCAGAAGGTGCAGACAATAAACAGCCTTCTGCGTCATAACCCCTCCACCTTCATCCTGCAGGGCATCCCTGGATTGGAGGCAGCCCATGTCTGGATCTCCATCCCCTTCTGTGCCATGTACATCTTATCCATCTTGGGGAACGTCACCATCCTGTTCATAGTGAAGAGGGAGCCGAGCCTCCATGAGCCCATGTACTATTTCCTCTGCATGCTGGCCATCACCGACCTAGTCCTGTGTACATCCACCATTCCCAAATTGCTCAGCATCTTCTGGTTCAACTCTAGGGAGATCGGTTTCAGTGCCTGCCTCACCCAGCTGTACTTTGTTCATACTTTCTCAGTGATTGAGTCTGGGATCTATGTGGCCATGGCGTTTGATCGCTACGTGGCCATCTGTGATCCCCTGAGACATTCCACCATCCTGAATAACTCTGTGGTGGCCAAGATCGGCCTGGCCGTGGTGCTGCGAGGTGCCATATTTGCACTGCCCTATCCCTTCCTGGCGAGGCACTGGCCATATTGTAGAACCAACGTCATCCCCTACACACATTGTGAGCATATGGATGTGGTGAAACTGGCCTGTGCGGACATCCGCGCCAGTAGCTACTACGGCCTCTTTGTGCTAATCTGTAGGATTGGTCTGGATGTGCTCTTTATTTCTGTGTCTTATATTCAGATCCTCAAGGCCATCTTCCGCCTCCCCACAAAGGACGCCCGGCTCAAGACTTTTGGGACTTGCACTTCCCACCTCTGTGTCATCTTAGCCTTTTATATCCCAACTCTCTTTGCCTCCCTAGCTGAACCCCATCATCTACGGAGTGAGGATCAAACAAATCCGGGCCAGGCTGTTCCAGTTTGTTACTCTGAAAGGAACCTAAATGTTTTCTCCTGGTGCCCTTGCTCTTGGGGAGAGCTCCATGCTGAGATGAAAGGGACCTAAATGTTTTCTCCTGGTTCTCTGGCTCTCAGACAGAGCTCCATGCCAAGATGGTTGGTGAGAGGCTGCTGGGCTCCCTTCCCTGAATGACTCACTGGCTAGTCAAAACGCAATTCAATCCTTTCCTGATATTTCTTTCTTGTTGTAACAAATTGGGGAATCAGTTTGTGAGCAACTTACTCATAGTAAGTGGACGGCCAAGGACCGACCACCTACCCCACCCTTGCCCAGAGACCCCACCCCTGCTCTACGTCTTCCCTATAGGCCCCAGCCATTACTGTGCCTTTTCTTCCAAGTTTCCATTTCTCCTGCTTGCTCCTCTTCTCCCCCATCATTTACTGGATCATCTCCGTGATGGGTTGCTGCTTTCAGGGTTCCACATGGAACGGAGGTGGAGCTGTGGCCTCTGGCTCCCCAGTCTGGCTCCCCACTTGCTCTGGGATGTGACAAGCTAGAATGTCTTCAAAGCTCCCTCAATGTCCACAGACAGGGCCTGCACCCAGTGTGTTCATGGAGGCTCCGGCCAGCCACTGCATGAACCCACAGCAGACATTACAGCCTGCCCTCCAGCTTCCCAGCAGAGGACCCCAGGGCTGCTGGCAAGGCTGTTCCCCACCTTGGCACGACAAATGTAGAAGTGGGGGCCCACAAAAGTACCCCAAAATCTTATCTCCACAGGCTTTGGTGTAAAAAGCTCCTTCCAATTCCTAATACCCAGACATTGAGGAATATCCGCTACCACCACCCAAGTAATTCGAAGAAAACCAGGAAGAGATCACTTGGGAAAACTTCTTCCCAAAACCTCAGTGGTACCTGAAACTCTTTTCCTCAAAAGAGCTTGAAAAAGAGAAAAAAGAAAAACGTGCTGCAGTCTGTGGTAACTGAACTCTCAGTAAGTCAGACAGACCTTCCAGGACACAAAAATGAATCAATACTGGTTAATTAGAAAAAGAAACAAACTTTTGTTATCAAAACAAAACTAAAATTGCAAGCATAATGAAGTGGCTAGATGAAAAAGAGTCATCCATTGATTTAGATACTCAGGGGGAAAGTCCATGGGTTAGAAAGCTTCTGTTACAAAAGAGAGAGAGAAAAAAGAGCTCAACTTTTAACAGATCGACATCAGTCCCAAATTCTGAAACCAGAAAACAGTAATCAGAAAATAGGGCCATCTTCCGCCTGCCCACCAAGGACGCCCGGCTGAAGACTTTTGGGACCTGCAGCTCCCACCTGTGCGCCATCTTAACCTTTTACATCCCAGGGCTCTTCTCCTCCCTCACGTACCGGTTTGGACAGAATGTGCCTCTGCATTTCCACATTCTCATTGGCAACATGCAACTCCTGGAGCCCCCCATGCTCAACCCCATCATCTACGGGGTGATGACCAAACAGATCCGGGCCAGGCTGCTCAGGCTCTTTAGTCATAAAGAGACGTAACTTGGAGAAGAACCAGGCAACCCAGGAGTGGATGGGAAAAAAGAACTGCTTTATTGCTCACACGTGTTTACCAGGGACATTCAGAACAATGTACGAGTGACAACAATTTGGCACCAATTACACCCTTTTATCTAGTTTACTATGTTAATTCATATATCTATCACTCCTTTTCCTAAAATCTTATTTGGTATATTAACTCCCATACATTGAATATTAATTAGCATGTGATGAATCTGAATATTCCCGCCCTAATTACTATTTACTGAATTTCTAATTAAATCACCACTTTTCTATGCTAAAACTTTCCAAATCAGCAGATTATGGAGATAACAAGACAAGTAAGCCTGAAATATTTTATACTTTGCCGGTAAGGGTGAGTAAGAGACACAACAAAGAAATGCAGCTACAGGCTTATCTAGTTTATAGGCTGTAAAAGCAAAGGCAAAGAGCATGTTTATACCTAAGAAAGGATCATATCTGCTTTGGTCGGACCCTGATCTATCTTTCCAGACTGCCGAAACAAAGGGAAAAGGTGCGTAAGGGCAGCACATGCTGTGGCTGACCCCTTACTACTATGAATATCCACCCCACACCCCTATTAATCTTTCCATATCCCAACAGGAACGTTTCCCTGCACGCTTTGTCTCTGAGGTCAGTGACGAGCTGGTTGGTGACAGGGGGCTGGGCCCTCTTCCCGGGGGCCTTGTCTAGGAGGTTAGATCGAAGATAGGTGGATTGGCTGGATTTAGGATTAATGAGATGGGATGGGGGAGCAGTAACAGGTGACCCCCTGGGGGGCTTCCCGGGGTGCTGACATGGCCACTGCCACTCACCTTCCCTCTCTCTGGGGCTCCTCACCGCCCGGTCCTGCTGGGCCAGCTCCATGGTCACCCCCAGCCGAGGCCCCGAGCTGAGGTCCCTGCTCCCGCCCCCAAGAAGCAGCACAGACACTGAACCTCTTCAGGTCCAAGGGGAGGGCAGTTTAGGGCCCAGCTCCCTGGGACACCCCTCCCCAGAGGGGATCAAACCCCAACGAATGACTTGGGTCAGCCCTCTCTAGCAGTGAACGGGGGAATGTGCCCACTGCTTCCCCCCCTAACCCATCCCCCACCTCCCCTCAGACACCCCAGTGCTCCCTGTGCCCCCCCCGCCCCCCCCCCCCCCAGGTAACAATAATTCACGCTGGGCTTGGTAGGAAATAAAAGTGACTGTATTAAATACCAGCAGTGGGGTTGACGTGGTGATAAGTGAGAACAGGCCGAGCAGAGTCGGTAACAAATCAGAAGAAACAAAACCGCTTGGCTAATTCGACACTGACACCTCAGAGCAAACTCCTCACACTCGCCCTCCAACCTCTTCTCCAGCCGCCCCCCGAAACCAGGCTTCTCCCCCTGCCCCCAGGGTCTTCAGCTCCGTCCTTCAGGTGCACCCAGCCAAAAGACCCAGGCCTCTGCTTTCCTATTCTTTTTGTTAAGGGTTTGGGGCCCTCCTGAGCACCCATTGCTCAGCCCTAAGGACAAAAGGGATCGTTTAAGAGCTCCTCATCAAGACTTTGAGGGTAACCCCCTCCATGTCTCTCGTTCACATGTTTAAACCCACAACGTATTCCCCACTCCATGTGTCTAATTTTACACACCACAAGGATGCCTACATTGTAGTGAGAGTAACAGACCCAGTGGGTCGTGACATCCGATGGATGGGTTATACAGAACAATATGCTCAAGGCACCATTAAGTTATGTACATTCGTGTCCATACTTCCCTTTCATAAAGCATGGGGGGGGTCACTGTCCCCTGAAAAGCATCACTTCTCTAGCCAGCTGTGCAGCCACCTGGAAGCCTGCGCCTCCCTCCCAGCCCTGCTCCTGCTGTACCACTCCCCTGGACCAGGCTCCATTGCAGGAAATGATGTCCAGATTGTCTGGTCCAACCCAGTGGGAGCCCCTCACCCCACAGCTCCCCTTACCCCAGTGCTGGGCTGCATGGGGCTCCAGCCCCCATAGGGTTGGCCCTGCTGACTGGAAGCCCAGGCGAGATGAAATCCATTAGTGGTCTCTGTGTCTCATTGGGATGTGCTGGGCAGTTTTTTGGGTGCAACTCATCCCCGCCTATGGCTGCCAGCATTTGAACTGCACATAGCAGTTACTTCCCATTGTTTGAAGGCTGTACCCCATGCTGTCACAACAAATGCAGAAGTAAGGGCCCGCAAGAGCGTCCCAAAATCTTGTCTCTGCAGGCTTTGGTACAAAAACTACCCCCAAAATCCTAATATCTGGATTTTGGGAAATCCGTGGCCACTACCCAAGTAATTCAAAGAAAACAATGGAAGAGATCACTTGAGATCATCACCTCCCTGAGGTAAACCTCTCCCCTGCCCCAACCTCTGTTTTATTTGGAATTGGGAAAAACAGAGGCATCCCACAGACTGACCTTTCAGGACACAGCAATTAGCCAGTACCAGTTAATTAAGTAAAAAAAAGAAAATAAACTTTTATTATCAAAACAAAACTACAGAGGCAAGCATAGTAAAGTGGCTAGATGGGAAGAGCCACCAATTGATAAAGATTCTAAAGGAACCCCCTGGGTTAAAACTTAGTTTCAAAGAAATACCAACACAAGCTCAGACATTAGATCCAAATTCCCAAACCAGGAAAAACAACAGATCCTGACAGACTAGCTAAACTTTGCCCTACATACACATTGAGAGTCTTTTCTTGGAGCGAGACGGGCCTCCCATCTCTCTGTTACTTGGAAGAAAACGCTCTGATTCACACAAAAGATGGAAAGATAAAGATTCCTTTGTCCCAGTTTGAAATCTCTACCTGTATTATGACTGGCTTACCAGTAACATGCAGGGGAAAGGAGTTCAGGAGAGCTGGCAGTATTTTAAAGAAGCCTTATTAAAGGCACAGGAAGAAAACATCCCGATGCTCAGTAAGAAAAGCAAATATGGCTGGCGACCAGATTGGCTGACCAGATTGGCTTACCGAGGAAATCCTTGGAAATCCCAGACTACTGCATATGCAACACAGTATGGGGAGGAGGTGGGCAGTCCTCACTGGAGAAAGAACAGGTTAGGAACTATTTAGAAAAGTTAGTTGTACACAAATCCATGGGCCTGGATTTAGTGCATCTGAGGGAGTTGGCAAATGTCACTGAAGAGCCTTTAGCCATTTTCTTTGAAAACTTGCGCTGATCAGGGGAAGCGGAGGAGAAGCTGGAAATTAGTCAACAGGGTGCCCTTGCAGCCACGAAGGCTAATGGCACATTGTGGTGCATTAGGAGGAGCATTGCCAGCAGATCTAGGGAAAGGATTATTCCCCTTTTTTGGCAGTAGTGAGGCTACATCCGAAATATCACAACCAGTTCTGGGCCCTCATTACAGAAAGGACATGACTGCACGAGAGAGAACCTAAGTACACAAGAACATAAGAACGGCCACACTGAGTCAGACCAACGGACCATCCAGCCCAGTGTCCTGTCTGCTGACAGTGGCCAATAACAGGTGCCCCAGAGGGAGGGAACACAACAGGGAATCCTCATGTGATCCCTCCCCTGCCGCCCACTCCCAGAGAAACAGAGGCTAGGGACACCGTTCCTCCCCAGCCTGGCTAATAGCCATTGATGGAACCAACCTCCATTAATCTATCTAGTTTATTTTGGAACCCTGTTAAAGTCCTGGTCTTCATTGCATCCTCTGGCAAGGAGTTCCACAGGCTGATCATGCGCTGAGTGAAGAAAAACATCCTTTTGTTTGTTTTAAACCTGCTGCCGATTCATTTCATTTGGTGGCCCCTAGTTCTTATATTGGGGGAACAAGTAAATAACATTTCCTTATTCCCATTTTCCTCATCAGTCATGACTTTATAGACCTCTCTCATATCCCCCCTTAGTCTCCTCTTTTTGAAGCTGAACAATCCAAGTCTATTTAATCTCCCTTCACATGGGACCCGTTCCAAACCCCTCATCATTTTTGTTGCCCTTTTCTCAACCTTTTCCAATCCCAGTATATCTTTTTTGAGATGAGGCGACCACATCTGTATGCAGTACTGAAGATGTGGGCATGCCATCGTTTTGTATTCCCCTCCTCCTTCTTCCCCTGGCTTCCCCCTTCCAGCTCCCTCCTCCCAGGTTCCCCCCTTCCCTCTCCCACCTCCTTTTCCCAGTCTCCCCAGAGGTTAACCCCCTCCCCCCCAGTTTTGTTAAATACAGAGAGTTTCTGTTTTTGAACACACGTTTATTTTTTACATCAGGAAGGGGGACTAGGGAGGGAAGTGGAAGGAGGTGAGAAAGGAATGAGGCTGGGGAGGACTGGGGTGGCTCTGCAGGCTCCTTGGGGTGCAAGCTCTCCTGCAGGGCCTCCTGAATCCTGACAGCCCCCCAATGGACCTCCTGGATGGCAGCCTGCAAAAAGTGCAGCCAGGCTCACAGCAATGCATCCTTTCGTGGGCAAAGACCCACTTCGTCCGATGCATGTAGTGGAAATTTCCAGAGGCAGGTATAAATATGCAGGCCAGAATCAGGCTGGAGATGACGAGGTGGATCCAATCAAGGAGGATGAGGCCCACTTCTAGCAGCTGATCTGGAGGTGTGAATTCCAAGAGAGCAGAAGCTGCTTTTGTAGTTAGCGAGCCATTCACAGTCTGTGTTTAATCCAGAGTTGATTGTGTCAAATTAGGAATGGCAACTTACAAAAACCTGTAGAGGAACACTTCAAGCTTCCTGGTCACACAATTGCAGATCTAAAGGTAGCCATCCTGCAGCAAAAAAACTTCAGGACCAGACTTCAAAGAGAGGGAGGGAAAAAAATTGTTCTTCTTGGCTTCTGAGGATAGAACAAGAAGCAATGGGCTGAAACTGCAGCAAGGGAAGTTTATGTTGGACGTTAGGATTAACTTCCTATCTGTCAGGGTGGTGAAACACTGGAATAAATTGCCCAGGGAGGTTGTGGAGTCTCCATCACTGGAGATATTGAAGACCAGGTTGGACAGATGCCTCTCA